TCAGAAGCAGCGGTCGTCATACGAGAAAGATTCAAACATTGTCGCGACTTAATCCGGTGCCCAGTCCGGGTTACGGACGTGCTGTGCGATGATACTGGCTGCATTTTCAAGGAGCGGCACAGCGCCATCAAGCGCAAGGATCTGGACCGACACGCGGGGAGAATCTCCTCGGATCAGCCTCCTGGCCCCCGTCCTTTGAAAGTAGCGCCGGACACTTCAAACGATCCCACTGTCGCGGTCAGGTGCCCGATTCCAGATTGCGAGCGCATCATCCCCGCGTCTTCCAAGGTTCGATCGGCCGGATCGCATTACGAGAGCTGGGAACAGTTTTTCGGTACGGTGCTTAACAAGCCGATTTGGAAGCAGATCGGAAGGTTTTCGCCCTCCACCTCAGTGTGCCAAGCGTGCTACATGGATTGGTACCACGAGCACCACACCAATCGCCAATGCATCGCCGGCAGGAAGTCAAAGGCTCACGAAAACTTCCAAGGAACTTTGTCATACCTCCAAGCAGCCGAACACGAGGAACGGCAGATAGAGGCGCTGGACGCTACAATCCAAGCGCGTCCTTCTTCGGTGTTTTTGGCAAAGCAACGGACCAGAGTAGCATTTCGTGCGCGGGTCCTTCGGGAGGTCTTGGGTGCGAACAGAGCAACGCAAATGTCCGACCTGGGGGGAATATTTAAGGACATGATTACCGCCTCCGATCCCGACGGGACGAAGATGCAATTGTCTGTGGGGGAAGGGGAGGGCGTGACAATATCCCGTTGGGTGGAACAGGAGTTGAACAATATTTCCGAGATAACCCCAATCGGGAGAAGCACGGCAACCTTCATCGAGGATAATCGAACGAATCCGGTGTTGGTCTACCCCTACATTCACAGTATGGCTCAGATAGGATCCCTGGTCGGCAACTTGCACGCGGACATAGAAACGGCACGAGCAGAGGTGCGGCGGCTGAAGAGGGATTTGGCGCACGAGAGGGGCTCAAACGCGTCCAATAAGCCTGCAGACATTGACACGGTACGCTTGGCGGCGGGCAAATTGCGGGAAGGCATCACGAACTACTCCTCGGAAAGCCAGGATGTTGTCTTCAACCAGAAACACGGCCGAGCCCCGCTGGCGGCCATTGACCCGCTCGTAGAATGGCGAACATACGTCCCCCCGCTGATGGTGGACTTCCTCAACGAGTTGGGTTACCAGCACGCCGAGGTTGATGTCGAAGGCGATGCCTAAGAGAAACTCTTGAGGTCTCGGGCAACTCGGAAATGCCTCATGGCCGGGGTGTTGACATCGTTCGCGTTTAACACATGGATATAAGAATGCCAACGCGATGGGCTTTTTCCTGAAGGGGCAAGGTCTCCAAAGGGATGGGTTGGAATTTCTAGCAAGCATTTTTAAGATCACGCAATCGAACCGTCACCTGTGGGAAATGCGGACGAAGTTGGCGGATGTGCTCGGTACAGAAGCCGAGATGAGGAAGCTTCACAGAATGTGGCGTCTTGCAGCAGCGGAGGTGGCGGTGCCGCTGTAGCTCGTAGACTTTGTAGTCTACCACAGAGGTTACACTGCTGTCACCGCTCTATCACAGAGGTTGGTCTACACTGCTGTGAAATCGGTAGGCCCGAGCGAGCTTTGGAAAGAGAAATGCAGATAGATGTTCTTATCAACTGACTCCCTGGTCAGGCTTTGATGGGTGCTAGATGAGAGTGAGCACAAGGGGCGAAGGCGCGCTTGTGTCTCATCTCAACAACAAAACAAAAACAAAAAACAAGCAGCAAAAACACAGCAGGTTCCGAGGGTCTCCGGAGTAATGGCCCGAGTACCGGAATTTCGGGGTTCGGAACAATAAAACAACTACAGTCTCGCCTGCCAA